ATTAATGGGTTACGTTTAAAGTGCAAATAATTACGATAGTCCCAAAGGACAAGGTCATTTTTATTCTTTTATGAAGTTATTCTTTTAAAAAAAGTTAATTGCGTTGGCCAAAAGATGAAACCGACTATTAGTTAAGTATTGCTCGGCAGTATGTTAAGCTAATGGGATTTATCCCTCCTCTTGCGAATGTTTGAACAGTAGACGTCCACACTCCGTGGCCTGCGGGGATTCGGTGTCTTGAGGTGTTGGTGAATTTATTCAAATGTTGTTTAATGGGATCAATATTTGATGTATAAATTCAAAACTACTTGATTGAGTAAAGACTATGTTTGCATGATCCAAGGAATTCAAAATGTCTTTCAATCCGTTGTCCGTAATTCTCAAAGAAAACAAACTTGTTGGTCCAAATTATATTGACTGGAAAAGGAACTTGGATATAGTGTTAACTGCTGAAGGGTACAAATTTGCTACTGTTGAGGCTTGTCCGGCTGTGCCTGCTGACAATGCACCAGACCAAGAGAAAGAGAAGTATACTCGGTGGAAAAAGGCTGACGAGATGGTGAAGTGTTACATCTTGGCATCTTTGTCAAATGTACTTCAACATCAACATCAGTCTATGAACACTGCAGCGGATATGCTCCTCAATCTCAAGGAGTTATTTGGTCATCAGTCGCGGGCTGCCCGACAAGAGGCCATGAGGGTTCTAATGAACATGACCATGCGCGAGGGCACTCCCGTAAGGGAACATGTTCTTGCTATGATGGCCCAACTGAATGAGCTGGAGGTTCTTGGGGCTTTTATTGATGGGGAAACCCAGGTCGATATAGTGCTCCAGTCTTTGCCGAAGAGTTTCGAGCAATTCCGGTTGAATTACAACATGAATAAGATGTTGATGACTCTTCCGAAACTTGTTGCTGAGATCTAGGCGGCAGAGGGCCTGTTTCGTAAGAAGACCCAAGCCATGGTGGCCCAGCGGGGAGAAGCTTCCACTTCTAAGGCTCCTATGGGCAAGAAGAAAAAGAAGTCCGCAGGAAAGGGCAAAGCGTTCATGAGTGACGCGCAACCTCAACAAAAGGCAAGGAA